ATCTCTACACCCACCGCCTTTCCATCTTTCTTTATTTTCTTCTTCTTTTTCTTATTTCTGTTGTGTTATTCTCTATAACACGACCCAATTCCCAACAATCTCATGATCGGCATTTGTTTACTCTATTTGTACATGGCTCTTCTTCTTCTGTCAGCATTTAAAATCAAGTGTTTTTGTCCTAGCGAAAACCCAGATCTACGTAAAGAAGATTAATTTGTGTATTTTTTTTTTGTAGGTTTTGACAGTTGAACAGATCTCTACCCTATAACTTGATCTCCAAACTCCACACACTGGTAAATTCGAAACATTGGGCACAATGTTCGATTTAGGTTGGGGGGTGTGATCTACGATTCCAGTTTGTTATAGTTTCGTATTGTTTTTTTAAAAAAAAATAAGAGATTGTTCTGGATTGCATATTTTTTTACAGCATTTTCGCTTATATTTGATGATCACATGCAACTTCAATCGTCTTTGTGACTGACAAACGTTAAAGAACCAGATAGTGAGTTTTAAAGCATAGAAAAGCATGACTGTTTTTTGGTTTAGTTTAGGAGTCTTGCGCACATTTCTATCTGATGTGCATGCTGTGATCATGAGAAAAGCAAGAGTAATCAGAAAAATTGAAATCCGAGAAGCACAAGCAAAACCATTGTGTGGCAGAAGTACTTTTGCTAAACGTCAGTGTGCCAAATGGTTGGGTGCTTGTAAACAATGTGGCAGGTGTTTTCACATGAAAAAATACAATCAGTGCTCTCAACCAATTTAGGGTCATGCAACCGATCGATTAAACTGGATAGTGTATGGTCAGAGTAAGGATTTTCCTGGCACGCCATCTTATACTAGTCCGAGACTTACACGTTATGTGCAACAAGAAGAGGGAAGGGTCACTAATAATGACATAGACACAAGCGATGACTCGGATTAAATTTTGACTAATAATGACAAAGCTGTGGAAAAATATGTTTTGGGGATGAAGGTTAATGGTCTGAATTTTTTGTGTGTAAATATTTGTTTATGTACAAAGTCTTTTTGTTGAATAAAGATGTGGACCGAGTAAGGATTGTCCTAAAATGCCAACCTGTAGCGTAGGTGGGGACTTATCCTGAGACGCCATAGTTTTCCAAGTTCAATGTATGCATTTAGTTTTTTTTTTTTTTCAATTTTCATAGATAAATGTGTATGTAAATAACTTTGATTTTTATTCGAGTGAAAAAAAAACCGCATTTTCTTGAAAAATGGTATTTTCTCTATGCTTAAATGTCAAATGTACATTGATATTTGTTAATCTTAAGGTACAGAATGACTAGACTCGAAAATAGAATTATAATATAACTGACTTTCTTCGGAAACCTGACATAACCAGTGGAGATGACAAAGAATACCATGGTAAGTTTTGAGCCTTGCGATGCTTTCTGAGAGACAATCAACATTTACTCAAGTAAGCTCTTTCACTTTCAATTGTTTAATAATCTCATTAAACTTGTTTTGATTAAATGCAACTAAAGTAATCTATTGACATATCTCACAGGGAACCTTTGCATGCGACACATACATAGGCACATACTTGAGAAAGGATTTTAGGCCATCTTTGAGTTGATTTTGAGCCTTAGCCATTGTTTCTACGAAATTATATCCCTAGTTAGCCATGTTTAAGCCTTCAATGAATGATGATTTCTTTTCAAAAAAAAAAACTCATATGATAACCGAGCCACAAGAAAATACACTTAACATACCTTGCTATCCATTTTTTGCACCTTCTTATAAATCGGTATGACATAGAAAGGCAAGAAAAATAGAAAAGAAGATGGTGGCTACTGTTCAATGAAGAATTGGTGAAAAAAAAAAAAAGGGAATTGCCAAGAAAGTGAAAAATGAGAAAAAAGAAAGAAAGAAATACCATTTCTAGGTAAAAGATCGAAAAGCAAGAAAGAGGTGTGCTACACTACATTAAAAAGGGGATAGCTTTTGAATACCATTGACGTCATTTCGTTAGCCACTGACCTCTGGCCACATTACAACCTATACAAAGTCCTAATTGATCTCAAGTCTGATGCATGTGTATGTTGTCGACCGAAAACTGGGGTATGTTAAATAGTATTTTTTTAATTGCATTGATATTCTTCCATGAGATTATGCCAAGAACATGATTAGTCTACTTTCTTAAGACTTTTACTCCCTTTCTAACTGTGCATGTGATTCTTCGATTGATCATTCTCTGATCACATGTCCTTTGAGAGACAAATCACTATAATCAGAGTGAATTTTTTTTGCTGAAAGCATTCTAAGAGAGGTTTGAGACATCAAAGCTATCCATAGAAGGGGATAAAGTGGAATATTTGTTATATAACAATTATTGCTACTAGAATGATCATTCCTACTACACAGGAAATTTCAAATACCAATGTAACAAGTGTTTATTTTTGTATAGAGTACGTACCAATGACAGAGAAGTGTTCGGGAAACAATTCAAAATTAAGGGACGTGTGTCTCAATGATTCTGTTGCTAACTCATTATGATCTTACATATACACATCTTTTAATTGGAGTTTGTAGGTAGCTTCACTGGAAACCTTCACGAGACAAAAGTCGTCCACTAGGGATCACCTAGGGGTTTAACGGCTTGTTGCATATGCTAAATGCAATTATGTTATCTATGAAAGTGATTTTATTTTGTTATGTTGTTATTTATTACTAGGGACTAGTAATGTTTAGGTTAGGGGGTGTGATTAACCCTAATTAAGGCATAATTTAATAGGTAAATTATGTTAGTTGAATAAAGTAAACTAGTCAAAATAAATCAAATTAGAGTTAGTGTGTGAATAAAGGATAATGTATTAATTGTTGTTCTTTTCAAGGTTTTGTACGTCAATGCTACAAACTACTGGGTGCCAATTATCAAAGCTCAAAACGAAGGGGGATCAAAAGATTCAAGGCCACCTAACAAGACTTTCATGCCACCAAACAAGACTTTTCAAGGCCACCTAACAAGATTCAAAGCCACCTAACAAGACTTTCACCCTCCCTTGTTGCCTATAAATACCACCCCTTAGGACTTGTAAAGCATTCATCTTTTGGTAGTGGAAAACCCTCCAAAATTATTATTTTTTTCCTTATTGCTTATTGCTTTTTTTAAGTATTGTTTTATTTTATTGTATTATTGCTTTCTTGTAATTTATTGCTTTCTTTTACTTTAAGTATTGCTTTCTTTTATTGTGTTATTGCTTTCTTTTATTTCCATTGCTTGAGCTTCCTTCTTCCCTTAGAGGAGTGAAACTCTTCCACTTTTCTAGAGCTTTACCAAAGCCGTGAAGGGTGGAACGTGATTCACTCATTCTTTGACGAAGATCGGCTCCTTGTGTAAAGTGTTTTACCTTATAACTCCTTTACTTGGAGGGATGAGGATCACTCACTTTTCTAGCTTTAACAAAGCCATGAAGAGTGGGTAGTTTCTCATCCAATCTTTAGTAAGAGGAGATTATCCAGAAGTTATATTTATGTATTTCATTTATGCTTAGATCTAGTCTTTATTTCTTCATAATGTTTTCTCATCATATTGTTGTCTTTATTTTAAGCATGAATAGCTAAATCTCTTAGTTGGCAAAACCAAGAGGAACCTCCACTTGGGTATACTATTTCAACTCATTCTCCTTCCCTCTTTCAGAGTTCAATGGTTTGATTTGACTGGGTTGAGGGTGGATAACTTGGTGAGTCTTTCATATTCCATAGGCCTAGTCACGATTTATGCTTAGGTACTCACCAATTTTACCCCTAGCTTCCCACGTATCAATTGTTCATTCATGCTCTGTTAGAGGAGGGTTTCAAGTTGAGACAATATTCCTATTGGAGTGACCTCTTGGATTTGCCAACATTTGTTTTTCATTTTACTAGCATCAAAACAACTTCACCAAACAACTTCCAATAATCAAAGATTTTACACTTTCTTTCTCCCAAAATCACCTTCCCCTCGGCTTACTTCCTTCCCCGTGGAAACGACCTTGGAATATCACCAAGTAAAACTCAATCCACGAAAGTCTCCTTGCGCTTGGGGAGCACTTTTGTTCACACATACTCACATGTGAAATCTCATTCATCCACCATTTTGTTGCCCTATCTTTTGACATCATCCCTAGGAGAGTGACACTCCCTTTCATTCATATACTATACATGCTAAAAGGTGATGCTTAGAGGTCAAGAAACAACAAGGAATTTTGTCAAGCACCTGACTACGGGTCTTCTCCTGCTTCTCCTTTCCTTCTTTGCTATAGGGGCGTTATTATGCATGGCCCAGACCAAAAGGGTGGGACTAGACTCTTCGCCACCCGAGAGTTCTAGCAGTCACAAAAGGAGTGGAGAGGGGTCTAGTGTTTATAGGAGTGAGCTGAGGAATAAGGCAAAGAATGAAGCTAAGGATCGACTGATATAGGAAAAGGGGGTCACTTACGAGCGGTACTTGGACTCCATTTCTCTTACCCCAAGGAATGAGACAGTGAGGATCATTTGTCAATGTACAAAGAGTTTTACCAAAGACTCCGGGTGACAGAGATGGATGTGGTGGAGGTCTTGAAGTCAAGTGTGCGGGGTCAGGTGTTTATGGTTACTCCTGATGAAATTTTTGCCTTACTTGGAAACTACAAGGGACCACCTCCTACCCCACCAGTTTATCCCCATAATGTTCCTCGACCCAAGAAGTTGCCTGAATTTGTTGAGCTAATGTATGAGAATCCAAGTACCTTAAAAGGAACATTTCAAAGTGGGAGGTTGAAGCCCACTTACAAACTATTGAATAAGCTCCTCCATTGCAATTTTTCACCAAGAGGTGCAGAGAAGAAACCAAATGTAGAGATGTTAAACCTTGTGGATGCAATCATGTTAGGGAAGACAATAGACTTTGCTCTTCTCATTTGGCAAGAAATGAGAGAGTTTGTTGAGACGTAGAAGCCCATGATCAAGCTGCCATTTGGGAGCTTGATAACCCGGATGTGCATGCCCAAAGTCAAGGGTTATGCTTTAGAAAAGATCACGCCCCCAGAACTTGGAGCCATTGGCAAGACTAGCAAGAAGAAAAGAAAGGCAATGAGTAGGGGGAAGCGTGCCAAGACCCTGGGTGCCAGTTTTGAGGCCCCTAGTGCATCTTCATCTGCTGGGCCATCCACTATTGCACCTGAACGTTTGATTCCCCAGCGCCTCGACACACTAGAGGCTACGGTGCTGTAACACTCCAAAACACACCCTGGACGACATTACATTCTAAAACTATTTATATCATGAGAACACTAATATAATCCCTTAAGAAGCAAGACTTAATTTGTCATCCATGAATATTTTCAACATTATCCAAAAGAATAAGCCCAAGTTATGACTATTACATCTCAAAAATTAATTAAAGAAGCGTAGCGGAATAAACAAAAGAAGTTAGACTACACAATGTTCCAAAAGAATGGCCTAGTCTAGTACAAAAGGAAAGGAGGTTGCTCTATGCGTCCACCTCGGGATCCACACTCTCGTCCAGTGTAGTCTCCCAAGTAGCGGGCTCCTCGACCCTTACGTTCTCTTCCTCAAGCGGGTAATCTGAAAAATGTTAGCGATAGGGGAGTGAGCATGAAACTCTGTAGAAAAATTCTCCCAAACCAATACAAGGTTTAGAAAAGCATTTAAAATGGTCGGTCTCAATTTTAACATAACATAGATACATAATTTGAAATAAAGTAGTGACATTTAAAAAAGATCTCAAGTTTATTTAAAAACATTACTTAAATGAATAAACGAGCACCACATACAAATAATAACCATTAGTTACCATAACCAATTCCCAACAATTCTTTCGGTAGGTGGCATACTTTGTGGTAACCTCCACCCCCCTTTATGTCACTTTTGATTCTCAAGCATCCTTACTGGGAATCTCTTGATAATGAATAAGCATCCTTACATGGAACCTCTCACCAATCACTACATTGCTTCCCAAACATTCTTACCGGGAACCTCTTGGTAAAGGGTGGGCATTCTTACAAGGAACCTCTCACTCATGTGCATCATAAACAACCCAACCAAACATACAATTCCAACATTTATCTCAATTTACAAGCATCTATCCAAAATCCCAAAATATATCATGTACAATTCCACAACCAACTAGTAAAATACATGAGATCACAATAACATCATTTTTCTACCCAACACAAAGCACTAAGGTTTTGAAATCCATAATAAAGAAAACATTTAGGAAGGAAATACATCACTCTCCAAAAATTAGGATTTTAAAACTAGAAAGGAGATTTCATGGGTATTAAACCCTAGTTTGTTCAAAACATGTAATCCTTGCAAAAAGCCAAAGAGAGGATGATTCCACAACACATTTATATACCATTGATAGCCAAAACATACATATATAAATACCCTAGCCTCAATGTAAGTGAATGAGAGAAAACCCCTACTTTGAATCCTTAGTTTGTAGGAAGAACTTGAGCTTTGATCTTGAATCTACCCTTAAATCTATTGTTTTTCCCTTCCTTTCTTCCTCTCTAATGCTCTCTAGGGTTCCAAGAGGTGTGGGGTGAGAGTGGAGTGAAATAAATGAGGGCAAATGGGATGAAAATGGGGTTTAAAACACCTCAGCCCCCAATTCACTATTCACAGCCTGTTTTGGTTTTCTTCAAAATTACGGTTTTGTCACTAAGAATCTCCAATTTGATTTATATGACTACCCTAAAGTTTTTTTGACATTCTGGCTTCATGTTTAATGTTATTTTAACCTAAAAAAATTTATTTGTATGATTTATCTCAAAACCAAAGTCAACGTACACCCGAAACACTAAAGTTTCTATTTTACCCATCTGAACCAGCTATTAATGAAGTTTTACGTTGTTTGCAAATAAAAGGTGATAAAGGGTGCTTCTTAAAGCCTTTTATACTTATTTGAAGCCTAAATTTAATCGTTATTCTTATATTTGGATTTAGGATGCAAATGGAGACGTTAAATGCAAAACGAAGCTAATTGGACTGTTTTGATGTTGCTTCGTTATCTGGGCATAACTCTCTCATCCGAGCTCCGATTGAAATGATTCAAGATGATATGGAATGATAAGAAAGATCTCTAAAACTTTCATGTTTTTATTTTTGAGAGATATTGGCTGAATCAAGGTCTAAATCGGGCTTGAAGTTGCAGCCAGTGCACTATTCTTGCTAATTGGGCTGTTTTGACATCACTTCGTTATCTGGGCATAACGCTCTCATCCAAGCTCCGATTAAGATCATTCAAGGTGATATAGAATGCTATGAAAGAGCTCTAGAAATTTCATGTTTTGAGTTGTCAAAGATATTGATTGCATCAAGGTCGAAATCATGCTTGAAGTTGCAGCCAATGGACTATTCATGTGCACTGTTCACGTCCTGTTTCATCCCTTTTCCATTTCCAATCCATTCCTAAGCCAACCAAATCCATCTCAAACCTCTCCCACACATATTTCTACACCAAACCTACAAGTTATAGGACCTAAAATTTCATATTTTCACTTATTAAAATCAAATTTCAACTATTATTTCCACTAACATTTTAAATCTCTACTTTTCCAATCTACCAAATTCAAACACACATCACTACACATATCCAAATTTTTACCAAAATTATTTACTATATATCTATATACATATATAAAAGAAAATGCGGGGTGTTACAGGTGCATGGGATTGAGGCAATGATGAAAGAATTGTTTAAGCATACTTTTCCCGGGGGGCCTATCCTAGGAAGATCCTCACCATCTGTTGTTGCTCCCTTTGCATCTAGGCCCTCTGTTTACGTAGTGGTTGAGGTAGGCGATGATGAAGATGATTTCGAAGAGGATGAGGAGGGTAAGAGTGAGTATGAAGAGGATGATGATGATGGAGATAGGGAGGAAGAGTAGTTGTGTAGTCTTTGTCTTTTTCTTTTGTGTTGGGTTGTGCTCAATTAGTATGGGGTCATTGGCCTACTAGAAGAATCTGTAGGAAATAGGCCAATTTTTGTCTGTTGACTCCATGTACTCCAACTTTGAAACATAGTAATGAAATACCACAATCCTGTTCCATCTTGTCCATATTTATTTTGAATATTGCATTACGATTTTGTATTTTGATTTGAGGAGGATTGTCATGTGTTAGTCTTGCTATGCTATTTTGAAATTAAACTTTGCTAAGGGACTAGCAAAACCCAAGTTGGGGAGTGTGATTAGCACAAAAATTTGTAGATTTTTATGTGCTAATCATCTTGTTTTAATTGATTTTGGAGATTAAATAATGGGAGTTGTGTTAATTGAGTTTTTAACGATGATATTTGGCGTTTTCTAGTTAAAAAGTGCTAAATGGGGCCTCTTAAGGCCTTCCCACACCATTTGGGATGAATGCAGATGAAAAGGTAGCTTGGGGACAACTTAGGACAGCTCAGGAGAGGAGCAAATCAAAAAAATCAGAAAACCAGCCAAACTGTACCGGTACACGTATCTATTTACTGAGGCTATTGGAGTTTGTCGTATCGGTACGCTTTGCCTGATTTGCCCAAATGCTCTATAACTCATATCTGCTACTTTTAGGGTCCCACCAAGACATCCTCCTCCAACTCCCTGACATGCCCAACACTCAAAACACCCCTCGGGACACCTACCTTGGACTTTTGGAAGCTTGGCCATCAATGAGGAGAGAGAAGAGAAGAAGAGTTGGGTGTGTCGACAAGCACTACAACCCCTCTGTCCAGGCCAATCCTCCTGCACCCCTATAGATGGAGGTCACTTCTGGGGTCTAGGGCATCATTCCATGCACATTTTTGGCATAAAAGACTCCATAGGTTACGGATGCTACATTGCACAGAGAGATGCAGATAGAAGGTCTGGGAGAAGATGATGAATAGTGTCTAGTGAGAGAAAATTAAGATTTTTGCATTTCTTTCAATACATTGTCTTGTAATCTCTGGTATGAATCCTTAGAACTTCATTTAATACCATTAATGTTGTTTCCTTTAAAGTTTAATGCAAGTTAGTGCTCTTTTGAGCTTTCACCATTAATGTATCAAACTTCTTCATTTTCTTAGTTTTCAAATGGGTATTCAATATATTCTCTTATAGCTTATGTTTTCTTGTATCTAGTTGCTCTAGAACTTCATATATTTGCAATGCATTTTCATTACATTGTCAATTTCATTTTAAGCATGAGTACCTAAATCTCTTAGTTGGCAAAACCAAGGGGAACCTTCACTTGGATATACCATTTCAACTCATTCTCCTCCCTTCTTTCAAAGTCCAATGGTTTGGTTTGACTGGGTTGAGGGTGGATAACTTAGTGATTCTTTCATATTCCATAGGCCTAGTCACGAATTATGCTTAGATACTCACTAATTTATCCTTAGCTTCCCACGAATCAATTGTTCAGTCATGCTCTATTGGAGGAGGGTTTCGAGTTGAGATGGTATTCCTATTGGAGTGACCTCTTGGATTTGACAACATTTGTTTCTCATTTTATTAGCATCAAAACAAACTTCACCAAACAACTTCCAACAACCAAAGATTTTACACTTTCTCTTTCCCAAAATCACCTTCCCCTCATTTTACTTCCTTCCCTGTGGAAACGACCTTGGAATACCACCAAGTAAAACATGAGCCGCGAAAGTCTCCTTGCGCTTGGGGAGCACTTTTGTACTCATACACACATTTTTTGTGTATTTACGCATCACATTGCCATCATTTCATTTTACCTCATCTCCTTGCCCTTTTTTTTGACATCACTCATAGGAGAGTGACACTCCCCTTCATCCATAAACTATACATGTAAAAAGGTGATATTTAGAAGTTAGGAAACTATAAGGAATTTTGTCAAGCAACCATGATCTTTGTCACCAGTATTATTGGAGCGGGATGAAGAGAGACGTTGGAGACTTTGTCAGACAATGTCTCATATTTCAGCAGATTAAGGCTGAACATCAGAGGCCAGCAGGGTTACTCCAGCCCTTGGAGGTGGCCGAGTGGAAGTGGCAGGATGTCACATTGGATTTTGTGACCCACTTGCCACGGACATCGCGGGGACAGGCCGTGATGTGGGTGATTGTGGATTGGCTTACAAAGTCGGCACACTTTTTGGTTGTGCGGATGACCTTCACCTTGGAGGAATTCTGCAGGTTGTATATACGGGAGACTGTCCGGTTGTATGGGATGCCCGTGTCTATAGTATCAGATCGGGATCCCAAGTTT